CCGCTCCGGCGGAAGGGGCGGAGCGCGGGGCCGAGCCGGGCCCGGCCGGGGGCCTTGAAGTCAGAGAACTGGATTTGGGGGTGTTGTGTGCAGCGGGCTGGGCGAACCACCGGAGCAGGGGGATAGCGGCCGCAGCGCAGCCCGGCCTCCCCGCCCCTCCGGGTCACCGCGCCTGGCTCTGTGCGGGTTTAGCGCCAGGGATGCCCGCACAGCTGCTAGAGCTCAAAAATGCCGTGCACGTCCCCGCCAATTGAACCCAGCTTACGGTATTTGAGCTCCTGGGGCTCATTTCAGTCCGGTTTAAGGGTACAAATGAAGGCAGAAACTGAGACTTTATAGTAAGTGTTTTTCTGTGTGTCAATATTGTATGGTATAAAGTGCATCTTCTATTTCTGCTCAGGTGGAATTTCTTAAAAGACACTGAGGAAGGTGACCAAAGAAAGTAATGTTCCCAAAATATTTTTGAAACCCTTCTCTGAACTTCTAAAATTATTAGTCTTCTCACTCAAAGAGAGGGAAATGAGGAAAGGTGTGAGTATAAGAACTCAAGTTATACGTGGAATTACAAACCAGTATCTGGTTCCACTGTCAGATTCCGAGTGATTTTGTCCTAAGGATAATATCAGCATGCAATTTTTGTTCCAAATGTTTTAATTGCATTATGGCTGCGATGGGTCTTTCAGGAATTAAAAAAGAAATGGAAGAATACTTCAAGCATTAAAAACAGAAGAAAAGTGAGACACACAAAACGTGTTTCTGATGGTCCAATTATCATGTAACTGTAGAAGTAACGGGCAAAAGAATGGGCGGGAAAAAAGTAACATTCGCTTACCTTGTTCTTACTGATTTTTATTTCTGTTAGTACAGGACAGCCAAAGAGCAAAAAAAATGGAACTTAATTTTTATTGTTCATCTACTATTTACCGATCATTTAACAATGCTGTTTACCAGCCTGGGGCGGGCGCACACTCGCTGAAGAACGTTTGAAAGCACCTGGGGGGTTTGTGCGGGCGTTGCTTAGAGCCCCGATATCAAATACGCCCAACACAGACAGCTTTC